TCTGTCTGTGTCTGTGTGGTAGCAGGGATTAAATCTAGTGTCTTGTATATACTTTATCACTGAATTATGTCCTCAGTTCTTAGAAAAAAAAATTTTTTTTTAATTTTTAGATAAAGTCTCCCTGAGTACTTTACATTGGCTTTGAACTCACTCTGCTGTCCAAGCTGTCCTTGCCTTTTGTGATCCTCTGCAGTAACTGGAATTATAGGCCTGGATCACCAGACCCAATATAAAATCCCCAGATGATAGAGGAAAAAAAAAGTGGAAGCCAGGCACGGTGACCTATGCCTTTAACTTCATCACCAGCTGGGTGACAGAAGTATAAAATAGGGTCAGAGCCTGGAGAAAGGAGGAGAAGAAGACCCTGAATCTGTATCCATTTGACAAGTATTTACCAGGTACCACTATGGGGAAAGCGCTGTGCCTGCGGTGGTGAAGATGTTAGCCTTACCCTGAGGGACTTCCATGCCGAACCATACATAAAATTACACATGTACTGGGGCTAAGTGCTGGGTGACAGGGAGGGGACAAGTGTTGTGGATTTGGAAGAGTGCCTGCAAAAGGGGGCCCAAAGTGTGACCACCCCTTTCCTCTGTACGGGGACTGCCACCACCCTCACAGACATCCATGGTTCATTGCCCACTAGGCTCCTGCTTGCCCCAGCATCCTCTGCGCAGCCACGCAGAAGCCGGGTGCCCCTGGGAGCCTGGCTATCATGCCATCTCTTCTCCCCGTCTCCTTCCTTCTCTTCCTTACCTTAGTAGGAGGCAGGCCCCAGAAGCCCTTACTGGTGGAGGTAGAAGGTATGTCTATCTGTCTGTATGTCTGAGGGGAAGGAGCTACGGTTGAAAGCCGGAGTTCTGGGTTGAGTAACTGGCCTTCTTTGAGCCTCCATTTTCTTACTTGTAAACTTCTGGGAGGAGTCAGAAAGACCCTTAGAGCTTCCCATATGGTGAACTTCTGGGATCCTTTGATTTATGAGGAGGGAAGAGGGGCTGGGGCTCTCCGTTTCCTCTCCCCACAGAGGGAGGCAATGCTGTGCTGTCATGCCTCCGGGACCCCTCACCTGCCTCTTCTGAGAAGCTGGCCTGGTATCGAGGTAACCAATCAACACCCTTCCTGGAGCTGAACCCCGGGTCCCCTGGCCTGGGTCTGCATGTGGGGCCCCTGGGCATCTTGCTAGTGATTGTTAATGTCTCGGACCATATGGGAGGCTTCTACCTGTGCCAGAAGAGTTCCCCTTTCAAGGACATCTGGCAGCCTGCCTGGACAGTAAACGTGGAGGATAGTGGTGAGTGCCTGGCAGGGCTGGATTGTGGGGGTTGGTTGTAAAGAGGGGCTCTCCATGGACAGAGGAAGTTCTTCGGTCTGGTGGGACCACAGTGGCAAAGAAGGAGTTAGTTCTAGGCACCTAGTTCCTATGGCTTGGTAACTGCTCTGAGCTACTCTGTGTCTCTGTCTTGCTCCTCTGTTAGTCATAGTTGCTTTCACCCTGTATCTCTGGCTCTGCCCTTCTGGGCCTCTGTATCTCCCCCTTCTCCTGATCTGTGTCTCCTCTGGGGTCTCTTCCCAGGGGAGCTGTTCCGGTGGAATGTTTCAGACTTGGGGGAGCTGGACTGTGACCTAGGGAACAGAACCTCTGGGAGCCACAGGTCCACTTCTGGTTCCCAGCTATATGTGTGGGCTAAAGACCAACCTAATGTCTGGGGAACAAAGCCTGTGTGTGCCCCACGGAGGAGCAGTCTGAATCAGAGTCTAATCAACCAAGGTAAGAGGACAGTGCTGTGCGGATGCCGGGAGGTGGAGGGCAGTGCTGTGCGGATGCCGGGAGGTGGAGGCTTAAGGATAGGATGGTGCTGGGAACTTCGGTTGGGGGAGATGAGACCCCCCCTGGATTATATTTTCCTTACCTCTTCTCTTCCTGCCTTAGATCTCACTGTGACCCCTGGCTCCACACTTTGGCTGTCCTGTGGGGTACCCCCTGTCCCATTGGCCAAAGGCTCCATCTCCTGGGCCCAAGTGCATCCTAAGAGGCTTAACGTTTCATTACTGAGCCTAAGCCTTGGGGGAGAGCACCCAGTCAGAGAGATGTGGGTTTGGGGGTCTCTTCTGCTACTGCCCCAAGCCACAGCTTTAGATGAAGGTACCTATTATTGTCTCCAAGGAGGCCAGACCATCGAGATGCATGTGAAGGTCATTGCAAGGTCAGGTAGGGTTTCTTTCCATTCTGGGAATCTGTGTGGAGCTACTGGAAAAATGGTTAGGGATAGGGGTGTAGTTCTGTGATAGAATGTCTGCTTATCATGTATGAAGCTCTGTTTCCATCCCTAGAACTGTGTGTGTGTGTGTGTGTGTGTGTGTGTGTGTGTGTGTGTGTAGACAAACAGACAGACAGACAGACTGACTGACTGACTGACTGACTGACTGACTAGGACTGGTGGTGTACAGTTGTAACCCTAGAACTTGGGAGGCTGACACATGAGTACAAGTACCAAGCCAGACTTGGAATTGGCACCAGGACCAGCTTCAAGCCTCATCTCAAACTTTAATTTGTACACTGAATCCTAACTACAGCTCCTTGCATGTTGCTTCTGAGAACTTGTTTTTCTGGGTTTTCTCCTGTGAGCTTTGCTGCCTTCTTCCTCCACCACCGCTCCCAGTTGGAGCCCTGGGCCTTGTGCTCACTCCTATCCACACCCTCTTCTCGTTTGGCGTCCTTTACTCCCGTGGTTCCTAGGTTACCATGCCTTATACCTTCCCTGGGCTCTATACTCCCCATACCCAGTCATCTCCTGGGATTGCCGTTTCATGCCCCATGGACATCTCAGGTTTGATATATAAAGTCAAATCGACATCTTTCCCACAAATCCTCTTTGGGTGGCTTTGCACAAATGGAGCACTCAGAAGAATATATGTGGGTCTATTTGCCCAAGTGAGGACCCTGACTATCTTCCTCCTTCATCCATGGAATTCACCACAAGGTCTTGCCTATGGGTCTCCTTAATACAATACTACCAAGCTGTCCTGACCACAACCATTAAGTGCTACCTCAGCGTCCACTCCAAACTTGATCCCAACATGTGTTGGATCTCAACTCTAACTTGATAAACTCACCCTACATTTTGACCATGAGTATTCCTGAACTGCAGAATTAACCCTCTCCTACTCCTCACGTTGCTAGGACAATACCCATGCTTTCTATGTGGCTTGTCAGTGTCTCGTGCTCTGCGTCACAATCCTTGTCCTCCTGGCAACAACTGGTTCTTCCTTAGTGGAAGGGAGAAGAGTCCCCTGAAGAGATTAAGACTTTAAGTCTGTGTCTTGCTCTGGTCTCTCAGACGTATGTCCTTTGAGGGGGTTGAGGAGAAAGATGCATTGTGGGATACTTGTCTCAAAGCACTTTCCTCCTAGCAGTGTGGCTCTGGCTGTTGCGGACTGGTGGATGGATAGTCCCAGTTGTGACTTTAGTATATGTCAGCTTCTGCATGGTTTCTCTTGTGGCTTTTCTCTACTTTCGAAGAGGTAAGTCATGCCCCTGAGTTTCCCCAAATTCTACCCCATCTTTCTCAGAATAAACCCACACTGGCCAACTTGACACATCCCACAGTCTCATCTCTCCTTTACTGTCGTTCATACTTCCCGGGGCCCCTGGTATTTACACAACCATCCCCTCTATTGACCTAAGTGACCTCTCCTGTGTCCCCCAAATTCACCTCCTGCCTGCCAATTCCTCTCCTGATCCATCTCTTTAAATCCCACCAGCCTTTATTCTGAAGAGGAAAAGAAAGCGAATGACCGACCCCGCTAGGAGGTAAAGTAGCAGGTGCCCTTTTGCTGCAAGCTTTACACTTTCCTCTGTCACGTGAGCCTTGGTGCCATCTCTATTGGTTGAAATACTGCCCAAGTTCAGAGGCCACCTTCAAAATCACCTTCCTTGGCATGGTCCCAAACTCATCGGGTAGGCATCCCTACACAGTTAACTTCCAGAATAGACTGGAACTGGGACTCCCTACATGGTTCAGCCATAAGGTACACCAACCCTTTCTCCCTCCAGATTCTTCAAAGTGACGCCTCCCTCAGGAAACGGGACCCAGAACCAGTATGGGAATGTGCTTTCCCTTCCTACATCCACCTCCGGCCAGGGTGAGGGACCACCCGCCTCAGGAGGCTTTCAGCTCACCCCCCCCACCCCCACCCCGCGCGCCCCGGCACTAGCCAGCTATATGTTGTCCTCATTTCTCCAATCTTCTCAGAGCAGAACCTTCCCGAGAGCAGAGCCCAGGGCCAAATCTCATCAGATCAGTCAAGTCCAGTCCCTGGACCTTGGTCAGAGCCAGCATTGTCCTAGAATTTGAGGCCAAGGCCCAGATTTCGATCCCTTCCCCATGGCTCAAGGCCAGTTACACAGGCACACAGAGGATTTCTGCAGAGGCTAACACATTGTCTCCTCCCCCTCTGATCTTAAATCTCTCTTAAATCCATCTTAAATCTTAAATCTTTCTTTTCATCAGCCCATGCTCAGCGTTGGGCTGCTAGCCTAGGGAGTGGCCCTGGGTCCTATGGAAATCCACGCATTGAAGTCCAGGATGTTGGAGCTCAGAGCCATGAAACAGGTCAGATTAAAGGGGCGTTCCTCACCTTGAGAGTGTCAGAGCAGCCTGTGGTGGGATTTGTGGACTTGGGTAGAGGAGGAAAGATGTCAAGATGTCGCTCAGTTCTCCACACTGGTCCCAAACTCAGGACTGGAAGAAGAAGGGGAGGCCTATGAAGAGCCAGACAGTGAGGAGGGCTCTGAATTCTATGAGAACGACTCCAATCTTGGGCAGGACCAGCTATCCCAGGGTGAGGCCCCACTCTCCCTGGTCCCGACACTTCCCCAACTGTGGGCTGCTGACCTTTGCTAAAGATGGTCCTTTTTCTCTACCAGATGGGAGTGGCTATGAGAATCCTGAGGATGAGCCCATAGGGCGAGAGGAGGAAGACTCCTTCTCCAATGGTAATGTGGGGTCCTTGTGTGGCTGGTGGCTAGGAAAGCATGCTAGGAGCTGCAGACCTCCTACTGCCTGAGCAACTCCTGGGCTCTTTCTTCCACAGCTGAATCTTATGAAAATGCAGATGAGGAGCTGGCCCAACCGGTCGGCAGGATGATGGGTGTGTATCTGAGTGAGCGAGGGCTGTCACTCTTGGAAGAGGCTGAAGACCAGGAGAAAAAGTGACATCTTTGTCTCTCTTCTTGTTCCAGACTTCCTGAGCCCCCATGGGTCTGCATGGGACCCCAGCCGGGAAGCATCTTCGCTTGGTGAGAGTACTTAGGACATCCTTCTTTGGTCAATTTCAGCTGATATAAACTCAGCTCTGACTTCCAAGCCCAAGCTTAGCCCTCGTCTTAACCTGATTCCTGACTCCACCCTCTATCCTGTTTCTCAGGGTTTCTACCATCTCTAACCTTCAAGACCAATCTTGATCCAAATGAACCTGACATGTCTAGAATTCCAACTTGTGGAAGACTAAGGCAGGAAGACAGTCATGGGCTTGAGGCTAGCCTGGGGTACTTTGTGAATTCCAGGCCACCCTAGGCTGAATGAAACTTTGTAACAAAAACATAACAAAAAAATACTCAGCCAGCCAACTGAAAAATTGACCCCAACATCTTCTCCCCTGGAGTTTGACCTTTACCTCACCCCAGTCTAATGCAGATTTCAACCTTGACCCCAGCTGTCCGTATCATTTGCTAGGACCTTGATTTTGACTCCTCCCAATTCTGTGTTTGACCCTTCCTTTGGCCTTGACCATCTTACAACTGAGTAAGATCTTGATGCTGACAAATCAATCCTAGTTTGATATTGGGAGCTTCTACTTCTTGCCTAGCTCCTCTCTCATGGGTAGGCAGCACTTCCCTTCCCCCAAGCCCCAGCAGCATGTCTAGGTTTCTCATTTTCCATCCCGTGCTTAAGCAGGGTCCCAGTCCTATGAAGATATGAGGGGGATCCTGTATGCAGCTCCTCAGCTCCATTCAACGCGGTCTGGTCCCAGTCATGAGGAAGGTGGGTGTCTCTGCACTGTTCTTAGTTGTCCTCTGAACACACCCCGTCTCCAGAGCCTGCTTCTCATCCTATTTACACTTCTTTTCCTGGTCTTATCCAGATGCAGACTCTTACGAAAACATGGATAAGTCTGATGACCAAGAACCAGCATGGGGAGGAGAGGGACACAAGGGGGCTTGGGGTACCACATGACTCCCAAGTGACTAGGTGAGCTGGATACTGCCCCTGGGAGAGGGGAGGAAGAGGGAGATAAACAAGGATGGTAATGCAGCTCTGGCTCCCGGGGAGAGAAAGGGTTTCCTGGGTCCCGTGAACGGGGCCTAGACTTCTTCCCATACTTGTTTGTTTGTTTGTTTGTTTGTTTATGTAGCCTGGACTTCCTTAGATCTCAAGAACCACATCTGACTCTGAAATCTGGAGATCCCAAGCAGATGGTGTCAGTCAGTCCTAAACAAGTCAATCACCTTGTTTAGGATGTGCGTATGCAGACACACACACTCACACGCATACATAAGCAAAGCTTCCTTCTAACCCTTTTTGCTTTCCCCAAATAAACTCAATTAGCCACTCAACTTCTCTGAAGCAAGCCCTTGTGTGGGAGAAGAAGGAACGATGGGGCTGAATCCAGCCCTGAATCACCCACAGGAAGAAGAGCTGAGGTCTGAGTACATCCTGGTCCTAGCCTTCCCGTGGCCTGGCATTTAGCCACTAACATCCAATGATGCAAATATGTTCAGCCACTACTCCACAGTGTCGCACAAGGAAGGGACAGTGATGGGACTGGCAGTCTGTTTGGTTGGAACTCCTTCTCACCCCTGCACAAACTGGGAAACCCTGTCTGCCCTTCTCTTCACCCTGCCTGCTTCAGGCTAACAGGTCCCCCTCACTTCCTCCGGCAACCCACCTCAGTGCCTATCCAGGGTTCACCTTCTGTGGACACCATCCCGGCTCTGAGCTTAGTATCATCACCCCTTGTCTAAGACCTATAAAACCCCCTTACCTTAGTCCAGGTGTGCCATTTCCCTGCCCCCTCCCCTGTCCTTGGGAACCCGTGAATCTACTCAAGAGCTGCTCTCAATAAATATGCCTTTATACTTCTCAATTGGCTTGAATTGGCTTATTTCTTTGGCAAAGAAAACCTATTATCTTGGTGCTGAAAACCTGGGAGGAATTGAGCCTAAAGCCCTGTGTGCTGGGCCCGTGGCCTTGTGGGGACCGTTCTTCTCCCCTTCTCTCTTTCTCCCCCGACCCCTGCCTGCCATGTCCCTAAACTCTTGTAAGATGATTCTTTTCACATTCTTTTCTGGTCATGCCCATCTGCTCAATGCCTTCACTTGGCTGTGATATCCTCAGCTGCTTTGGGGACACCCTCCTTCCCCTGGCTCCCATAATCTCTCCTGACTCTCATCTTATTCTTTCTCTGGTTGCCTCACAGATCACTACCTGAGACTGTCCTGTCCTTACCCTACTGAATTCTGTCGACCCTCAAGTCGGGATATTTCAATCCTGGTGATTACTGCTCACCACCAGATGGTCCTAGTGTACTTCAAGGACCCCTCTTCCTTCCCTTCCAGATCCTAGTTTCCCATTTCTGAGAAAGTCACCACAGTCTCAAGCCCATCATTAACCACCTCCTGTTTTAGGGACTTCTAATGCAACACTCCCATTCTCCCAGTGAATAAGCCTACCACTTAGTACAGAACCTCCACCTCATTAAGGAGACAGTAACCCCAACCTACCCATGGTTACCAACCCCTACCCCCTCCTTTCTAACATTCCTCCTACCATTTTCCCACTTACTGTCCTAGACCTAAAAGATGCCTTCTTACTGTCTCCTACATCCTTGTCTTGGTTAGGGGTTTTACTGCTGTTGAACAGATACCATGATCAAGGCAACTCTTATAAGGACAACATTTAATTGGGGCTGGCTTCCAGGTTCAGAGATTCAGCTCATTAGCATCAAGGCAGGAACACGGCAGCATCCAGGCAGGCATGGTGCAGGAGGAGGTGAGAATTCTACGACTTCATTTGAAAACTGTTAGTAGAATATTGGCTTCCAAGCAGCTAAGATGAAAGTCTTAAAGCTCATGCCCACAGTGGCACACCTGTTCCAACAAGGCCACACCTCCAAATAGTGCCACTCCCTAAACCAAGCATATTCAAACCATGACAACCCTCCTTTCTAACTTTCCTCCTACAACTTCCCATTTATTGTCCCCATTGCTCTCACCCATCTCTCATCCATCCCAGTCTCCTACAAACCTCAGCCCTTGATCTCCTGTACAAAGACCGTTTCTCCTCAATCATCATCCCCCAGCCCAAACTGCCCCCTTGGCTGGCCACTTACCTATGCTTCCTTCTCCACTGGCACTCTGACAACTATCTCCTTACCCCCATGTCTAGCTGCTGCTGACCCTCTCCCCTTTTTCCTGGGGGACCAGGTACTTTTCAAACAATTATCTCCTAAGTCTTTAGAGCCCTGGTGGATGGGACCCTACATTGTGAGCCTCAACACCCTCTTGGCCACCAAACTCTTGGAAATCAGTGTTGGTACCATCTATCTAGGTTCCAAAGGGCTCCAGCCCAAGATGGATGGTCCATCTAGAGCTGGACACACTACTCTCAGGTCTGGATGGCCTGGCGTGGCTGCATTCACATTCAGCAGGTTCACCTTTGTCTCCTTCTCTTTCTGGGTCTTGTTTTTTTCTCTGTTGCACCTGCCACACAGTGACATTGTGGGCCAGGCTGACTGTTCCTCTGTGGGATGCCAAATGTTCTCTCTATCCTGGTACTCCCCCCCCCTTTAAGCGTATAGATTCTGTTACCTCATGCTTTGCTTTACCTATGGTAAGTTGGACAAAGCCTGTCACCCCCAATGGGTCAAAGAAAATGAGGGTTGCTGAGGGGCTATTGTTAAAAAAAAAAAGCCTCCTAAAATGGTGCAGATAAAAATTCTGTGGTCAACAGGATCAAGAATGGGCCACAAGCTGGGCGGTCGTGGTGCATGCCTTTAATCCCAGCACTTAGGAGGCAGAGACAGGAGGATTTCTGAGTTCGAGGCCAGCCTGGTCTACAGAGTGAGTTCCAGGGCTACACAGAGAAACCCTGTCTCGAAAAACCAAAAAAAAAAAAAAAAAAAAAAAAAAGAAAAGAAAAAGAAAAGAATGGGCCACAAAGCTAGTTTGTTCTTTCCCAGTACAACACAACACACCCTAGATCTTTGTGATGACTGGTGGCTCAGAGAGTAATAAGCAAGGCCTAGCAAAGTGAAATGTCCCCATATCCATGTGAATAAACAGAAATCTGGGGAGCCTACATCCAGACCCTGCCCTCTGTCCTCCAGAGCTTGGCAAACCTCATCAAGACCACACAGCAGCAGGAGAAGTTCCTCAAATCACACCTGGGAGACTCCTCAATCTCAGGTTAAAAACTAAGGAAAAAGAGCCTTTCTCCTGGCTGGGCCTCATCCAAGAGGAAGCAACCCTACTTAACCTCACTAAAATCTCCAACCTTAGCAAACGTTTTTTCCGTGCTGCTTTGGGCCGCCCCCTTTGACCACAGTGTTCTTACTTAGTCTGTTCATGATGTCAGGGACTGACCCCTAACCACAGATAACTACTATACAACATGTGCCCCTCTTCCCGGACTCTCTTGGACACTGATTCCCTTTCTGCTACACAGTACCCCGCTCCCTTTGTAATGCTACTCACACAACTTTGATGTCTGCCTGGTTGCCCCCAGTAAGGTTCTTCTGGTGCAATGACTCTATATCAAAAAAAAAAAAACATATTCCCTGGTGATCCCTCCTCTCTATGTATTCTGGTGATGTTTTATGGGAAGGCTGAAGTGGCCATGTTCTCCTCTCCTCTTGACTCCTCCCAGATTCTGGCACTCTTTTCTCAGACTTGCCCCATGGTCCCAACTGTAGCACTGGCAGGGATTCCTATGATGGTTTCAACAGAGCAACTGGTTTAAATGTAGGCACCATGGGATACTCGGTGTTGGGATCAAAGCGGTGTGTGACCGTCTCTAAAGGTTCATCAACAACTCAGCAGCGTCACTGGCCTCCCTCCAGCGTCTGATCACTTCAGTGGTTCTGATGGCCATGCAGAACTGGAGAGTATTGGACTTCCTCACGGCAGACAAGGAAGGCACCTGCATGTTCTCAGGAGAAGAGTGCTGCTCCCATATCAGTGAGTCTGGCCTGCTGGAAACTAATATGGAGTCACTCCACGAATTGTCTGAAGAAGGTCACCAGTAAAACCAGGGCACATCTCCATTCCAGCCTTTCTGGCAGTCTTCATTCTTCAAGGCTGAAGGTAATAGCCTATCTATTTTTTCTCCTAACACCTTGCCTCCTCTAATTTCTCAAGGAATGGATTCCCAAAGTTTCTTGAGCAGTGGTCAACCAAATGCTTCTGTAGCCAGACCTCTTGCTGAGCATCCGAGCCTGAGCCTACCAACTCCCGAGTCTCCCACCCTCTTCGGCAAGAAGTAACCAGATCTGAAGCAATGATTCTATACCTAAATAGGTTGGGATGTTTAGTTGGAACCCCTGGATCACTACTTCACAAGCTGGGAAATCCCATTTGTGCAACACCACCTTCTCCTTCTCCTTCTCCTTCTCCTCCTCCTCCTCCTCCTCCTCCTCCTCCTTCTCCTTCTCCTTCTTCTTCCCAACACCACCTGCCCAGAGTAAACTCTGGGCTAACATGTCATCATCACTCCTCAAACTTAAGAGTTCAGCTTTTGACCATATACGGGCACCATTCCTGCTCTGAGGCTACATGTCATTATCTCTCACCTAAGACCTATAGAAACCCCCTTACCTTAGCCTGGGTGCGCAATTTCCCTGGTCCCATTCCTTGGGACTGGAGAACCCACTTGAGAGCTGCCCCCAGTAAACCTGCCTTTATACTTTTATTTTGCTGGCAGAGAAAACCTATCACAGTCTAGTTAGAAAACATTATCTAGGGCTGGAGAGATAACTCAGCAGTTAAGAGCACTGACTGCTCTTCCAGAAGTCCTGAGTTCAATTCCCAGCAACCACATGGTGGCTCACAACCATTTGTAGTGGGATTTGATGGCTTCTTCTGGTGTGTCTGAAGACAGCAACAGTATACTCATATATAATAAATAAATAAATCTTTTTTTTTTTAAAGGAAGCCGGGCGGTGGTGGCGCACACCTTTAATCCCAGCACTTGAGAGGCAGGGGCAGGCGGATTTCTGAGTTCGAGGCCAGCCTGGTCTACAGAGTGAGTTCCAGGACAGCCAGGACTGCACAGAGAAATCCTGTCTCGAAAAACCAAAAAAAAAAAAAAAAAAAAAAAGGAAAAGAAAACATCTACCATCACTAAGGATTTATTGCCTTCTCTATTCCAAACATTAACATGTATGAGGCATTTCATTGGTATAGTAAGGCACAAACTTTTTGAGTATGCCAATATTTATCAAAGTAAATTTATATATAAAATTGAAATGTGTATCTGTTGTGTGTATGTGTGTGTATGACTTTTTGAGATTAAGTTTTGATCTGTATCTTACTTAGGATTTCTATGATAAACCACCATGACTGAAAGCAGCTTGGGGAAGAAATGGTTTGTTTCATCTTAACGGCTTGTAGTCTATCATCCAGGCAAGTCAGGGCAGGATTTGGAGGTGGGAATTGATGCATAGGTCATAGAGGAATGCTGCTTACTGGCTTGCTCTTCATGACTTGCTTACCTTGCTTTCTTATATCATCCAGAATCACCTGCCCAGGGATAGCACTGCTGACATTGGACTGGGCCCTCTCACAGTCGTTAATCCAGAAAATGCTCCCACAGACCTACCCTATAGGCCAGTCTGAAGGAGGTGTCCTCTCAATTGAGAATCCTCTTCCTAAATGACTCTATCTTGTGTCAAGTTGACAAAAAACTAACCAGCACACTATGTGTCTATCCCAATCTTAAACTTATGGTCTGGCTGAAGTGACCCCTGCATCATGAATAGCTGGAACTATTGAATGCTACTGTCTTTGTACTTTTTCTTGTTGGTACTCAAACCAGACCTAGGGTCTCACACATGCTACTGAGAACACTGTGCTAAGCAAACTTCATGAA